GATGCTCAACATTATCCTCGGTCAAAAAGTAATTAACGAATATTTGGTTCCTTCAATTTCTCCTCTCCTGCGCCATAAGATGAACAAAGAGTTACTGATAAATTGCCACAGAGTCATTTTCTAGTTGTACTAAAATTCTTTAAAGAAAGATATTGTTGACCTAATCACAAGATTTGTCGAATTATGCGACTTTTGACCCAATAAGGTGTAGCAAATCAAAAAGGTTTTGGGGAGCAGCATCAAATTAAATTTGGTTCGGCATGATGATTAAATAACTGAAGGAAATGACAGCAGTACTACAACAGCTTCAGTGGTAAGCATGACAATGATAGCGGCATCGTCTGCACAAGCCTTGGTCCGTATAATGTAATTTCATTTTATGTAAATGTTTACACCTGTGGGAAAGCACCAACATTAATAACTTCTTGAACCCCTTTTGTTCGTAAATTGGAGGTAACAGGACTAGTTGATGATCTGCCGTTGATATTTGACCAAGAACACAGCACTTGAATTAATATAATATTATTCGAGTTGACATTCAGCATGGAGTTCTACAAAACTCTTAAAGGCAGTCCTAGTTTTTCACTTGGTTTCTCAAAATAACACGTTTTACCAAAGAAAGCAAGTGCAACGCGGCGGTAGTTGTAGTGGACGGTAAGTCCCTAAAGCGTGCAAATTCAAGCAACCCAAGCATAGCAAAGCTCTGGAGGTCCTAAATGGGCAACAATTCCTCCAGTATGTGGTTTTCCACCATCAAATCAGTCAGTGGGAATTTAAAATTGTTAGAAAAAATCTTTGATTTTTGTAAGAATTTGTTTTGGTCTCAAGGTCACTTAAAGCCCCGCTTCAGTTCTTCCACCAGGCAGCATGGCCTTCGTGCCATGCCAGTAGCTCTTCTGTGCTCCGACAATGTAAATTCTGCCCAAGTATTATGTCCATTTTCGTCCTCAGGGAAGTGTCGCAGCGCTACACCTTGGACCAGTCTGTTTATGGGGTTCCTAACGCGTTGGAGAGGAAACGCGGTAAAGGTGTACGTAAAGTAAATACAGCAACTGAATGGGCATCATACAGTCAAGCAAGTAACAAACAGCTTTGGGAATCCCACAAACTTCTTTTGCTTGTTATTAATTGTTTACGACAGACGCAGGTCATATGTCGCCTGCCAAGGGCGGTGAGTCAGGTAGGCGGGCGATAAGATGGACTTTGGAAGAGACAATTTCTTACCTATTGCCTTGGCTCTTTCATATTTTCAACATTGCATTCGTATAAAGATTTGGCTTGAGACCTCTTTCAGATGGTTCCCGGCTTGTAGAGCTCGCTGAAGGTGTTGACAGTTTGCCAGTTGAGTTGGTGTCATTTTCAGCCCTAGTGTTAAGAGTCATCACTAATCCTCCCGTCCGCAACAATATGCTCTTCTCTCACTCGCTAATGTTTAACATTCAACAACAGAACTCAGGGTACTTGTCCTTTAAGATCGGGTTCGCTTTCCGGTGCCACCAATGCAGCGGCCCAAGCCTTTCCTGAATATGTAGGAACAGGCTTAAACAATTTTTATGGGATTTGCAACTAAGAAGCCTTGCCTTTTTTCCTTGTACCTTCATCTCGAAGCTTTCAATGTCTAGTCGGAGCAGCACCGGATGGCAGTTCGAACTGCATCCACCTGTAAGCGTGGTGAGTGGCGTCGGCCCATAGAATCCCCCCATGCAAACACTACACCAGTCATTCTATATACAAATAAGCTATGTTTAACACAATAATTCAAAGAGGTGGATGGAAAGTACATGCGAGGATCGCAAGGCCCATCTAAAGGAGAGAAGAGGATGCATGTTTGCGGTATTGTTTGTTCAAATTCTTCGAATGGGATTAATGTGACTAGATAACAGCTATCTCCGCTTGCCATAAAAGTATAACCACTCTTCCTTTCTGTTTAAAAATTCCCTTGCTTGGTCAAGAATTGTTCCCTTACTGATGCCCAGGTTATTCGTGGGGATCTCTAACAGCCAATAATACCTACTTTCAGGGGGTAACTGAGCCCTGCACCCTCTTACTACCGTAGGTGATCTGACACCTGCAGGGCAAATCAAACCACTACCTGGCGATTCCTGCTTCGCCTCCGTTTTTGAGTTACGGCCACTGAGTGTGAGATTGAGTTGTGCAATTGCTGTTTTCTTTAAGTACCAAGATGACTGCGATAAGCACTGCTTCCCATTCGGGCTGTATTGTTGCCCAGATTCATAATTTGTCCGCGTCACGCATCTAAGATAGTGAGCCTAAGTTACCGCCTTAATGGTATGACTCCATGACTAACAAAGGAGCTAGGATAACGTTTATGCGTATTTCCCAACCATCTCAACACTAAAAGTGAGAGACCTGTACAGCGACCCAGCAAATATTGTCAAAGCAATCTTGAAATCACCATCTGTGGCAGCCTCGAAATCCCACTAGATGCGGTTTTGAGATTTCATCGTCACGAACACATTCATTCCGCCATCACGGTTATCTTAGACTACAAAGAGCAATTTGTGTCATTTACTTGCGGCTCTAATGGCAAGTTGCAATGGGATGCCGTTGGAAAAAAGACACGATGTTGCACGAACTACTTCCAAGGTATAGGTTTCAGGGTCAAGTGGAGCCAATGGATAGGCATAATCCGCTAACGATGTTGTTTCCCCTTGTACGATTGGGCACCGACACCAGGTCTATCATGCCTATTTACCAAAGGGTGCCACTGAGTCCTACCTTCGATTTGTAAGCGAATGTTATTTTGTAGATGTGCCCACTCTTAGGCAATTCAATCCCATCAGGAAAACCAAATTCTATTGTCAGATCAGAGAATGCTCTCATCTCCATACTTTTTTTCAAAAATTAGCCTAATTATACGTTGCCTCTTCCTTTTTGGATGAAATACCAGACAAAGTGTCCATAATTGGATGAATGTTGCAAGTGCAGATGTGCCTATCACTCGGCAAGCGGTTGAACAGTTCCACTGATCGCGTGCAGACGCACACGCCTTCAGCAGCCTCCACTGCCTGTACGCCATCTCGACTACTCGGACTGTTTGCCCAAACGAGTTCACTATGCGAGGGCATTAGGGCACAATTTGCAATCTAACTAACTTGGCATTGTGTGAGGGCTTCAGTCTGTCGTACTTCAAATTCCACTGACTCCAATCGTTCAGCACATATAGGCTTCTAGTCTCAGGGGTTACTCGGGAGTATAAAGTCACCGGATAGGAGAGATATAACTTAAACACATTGAACTGAATCCAACGGCAGGCACTAATGCCATTGGTATCGCATGTCTTCTCAGGGTGACGGAGAATTGATGTGTAACTTGTGTCCAGGGCTCTTGGATGGCTATTGAGGTACCGACTACTTTGTGGCGATTGTCGTGGAAGGGTGGTCAGAGAGATTGCTGATAAGTATAAAGAGGTGGGAGGATGTGTGACAGAACTACTTCTGATTCCAACCGACAAACCCCACTATGGGACAGTTGACACTCCTAGACGCCATGGCACTTAGTCAATTCCATGGCCAGGAGTGGTCGCTGTTTTAACCCGTCTGCAGTGCGTTAAACAGATAGGGTACACAACCAAAACAGAGAAGGGCAGAGCATCAGTGGCCTGAAGGGAGATGATGTGTCTTCGTGTACAATGTTTCTCTCTATTCCGTTTTGCTTTGTTTCCCTCTACTCTGCTAGACTCTTCTCGTTGCTGTGCTGTGTTGGACTGTGAGACGAGATGAAGTGATGTGGCTTGAAAAAGTTTTGCGAGGTCCGTATTACCTTGCCTACATCCTCAACCACACTGTCTAAGGAGAGCAGTGGGCACTCCTCCTCAATTGACTACGTCTACCTCGAATGGCATAGGTGAGCCGATCCTCGAGATAATGCAATACGAAGCTGAAACATGAGCGGGATTGAGCAATCTCACAATAACCGTCCCGGTTGAAAAGCTGTAGGCGGTTTCATTGGCCCTTATTTAGAGACCCTCCGAAGTGATAATGGAACGGATGACCTCACCGCATAACGCTAAAATGGCCACCATGCTCCTCCGCACAACACACGGCTTTAAGTAGTCCTCACTTGCTCTCCACCACTCAGCAGCCTCCCCTTCGGCCCGATTTTTCAACCGCCTCTATTCTCTTCCACTGCACTACACTCTGCTTATAACTCCTTTACGCATTCCGCCTAGCCTTCCTCCACCTTACCTCTGTGTTAAGGGCCACCAATCAATCGCATACACTTGCGCACACGCTACTTTTATCTTATCAGTAGGCAACTGTTGGTCCAGCCCAGTAAAGCTCGACTCTGCTTCTGCGGTCCAATCAACTGGAATCGCATCACCACACTTAAACCAGCACTTGGTTGAAAACCCTCCCACAATTATTGCACTTCTGCCATCCTTCCCACCTCCCCACTTCCCGTTGTTCACTCTCTCTCTCTTTATAACTGCAACCTCCTGGGCACCCTTGAGAGGCTCTTCTGTTCGGTGTTGTGCTGGACTGTGAGGAGACGCGGTGTCGCCTTTTTGGTCTCTAGCCCACGTGCCCTGCCTCACCCTCTATTTTCATCAGCGTTTTTACCGGCCTCTCGGCCAATTACAACGATATCCCACGTCACCTCGCCACGCATCCTCTTGCCTATTACGGCCCCTCACGACCACTGCCAGCCCTACAGCAGGTCTCGAGCCTGAAGACTCAGGTCGGACTCTTGGCCACCACACCTCCTATTGTCCCCCCAAATCTCCACTTTCCCATCTGTTTACTTCTATTTATGCTTTTTCAGCGTTCCTTTTTTAAGGGGAATAACCCCTTAAGTAAATATGCTGCTCTTAGAATATTTATTTTTTGAATTATGCGATTTTGGTTGCCTTTTCGCCGCCCATTACGTAATATGATGTGGGGGATTAACCAGAGAGGCGTAAACTTTTAAGATATCAGATCAGATGAAAGACATTCTTGATAATAAACTCAATGGATGAGTTCCCTTTGGCGACAGCGTTATTTGAAAACCGCGAAATTTGAAAAGTCATCCATCTTTGAGCTGCCCGGTGATGTTGCGTCAAACGCGGCGCCTAAAATTTCAAACAAGAAAGGGTGTAAGTGAATGGAACTTTTCACCTCATCATGAAACAAAGACACATAAGCATTCACGGGACTCTTAAATCCACTCAGTAAATTCCATCGCGATGCAGAACGGTGGTTTAAGCTTTCTTGAATCTCCTAATTCAAAATTACACATTCAACCCAGTGCCGCGGCTATTCCAGCTTCCTACTCAGCCATATGCGAAATAAAGTTAAGGCTTCAAGAAATGCCTTCTCACCACACGAATTTGTTTGAGGCAGCACTGGCTGCGTTACTAATTTATTCTGTTTGAGGCTCTGCAACTGACTGAGGCTTGGAGCCGCGGGTTTTGTGGGGCTCGCCGCGGCAATCTTAAAGTCGATGTCGAGATTGAAGGCGCCCAAACCGCTCCACGTTTTGCCGACGTTGGAAGGGGCGCTCGGTACTCTGCCGCTTATCTGATGCTCAGGGGTGGAATTCACAACAGTAGATGACGGCTTTTGGGGTTGTAACTGCAACGAGAAAGGTCAAAATTCAAGCCGATATGCAAGTCTAACAACCGTAAGCAGGAATCACTAATGTGGTGCTTAAAATTTGGCAAGAAGCACTTATAAATGCCCTGATTAGATAACAGTGAAAGGAGAACCCATATTTGCATTAAGACCGTTACTCAGGTTAACTTTGAGGTTTTGGTGATGTAAAGGTTAAATTGTCATGCGGCCTAGTCAGGAAGAACCACAATTTTTTCGATAGAACGAGGTCCATGTAGTGATGTCTCCGCTACAGTGTGTGCGAATGGCTCAGCGCGAATTGATGATGACTGTTGATGAAGTGGAGATAAGGGAAAAAGAGGAGAGGAAGAAGGCTGAGTGACACGTTCCAGGCATCGCAGATCTGGGCCACCACCGACACCAACCCACGCCTGCGCGTGGAGGGTGGAAGGGGGGTGGGGCGAGAAAAGTGCACGACAGCCACCGATGTGGGGGAGAGATCGATCGAAGGTAGGCGATACCCGCACACGCACACACACTCACGCACGCAGGCAAATAAACCCCAGCGTCAATGCGTGTGTGTGTGTGTATGTACACGTATCTTTAATTGACAGTACTACATTGGCACAGCACAATAGCGCCTGCATTTACTGCAAGCCCGCGAGTAGACGGATTTGACTGCCTTGATACGCGCAGGCACCCACTCCCCTGCATACATGCCTAAAGTAAGACGGCGTCATTTGAACTTTGACTGATAAAGAGAAGCATTTATGCCTTGTAGAGGCTATTGGAACCAATAAGAGGATTTGAAACACCCTTGTGGCGAAAAACGGGGCGCACTGGGGTTGTGCAATGAAGGTGAAGCCTGCTGAGTAGACACTAAAGACAATTGTGTGTGTGTGTGACCTCGCGACTAGCTGACACGTGCTTGTTATCAGTGTGTGATAACTGGTTGCACCGATTCGGCGATTTGGTTGCTTCAAGTCGGTTGAATTTGTAACGTGCAAAGTGAATGGTAGTTGTGCTTGGTAATGGCGGCACAGTGGCGTTTTTTCCATCTTTAAACAGCAAATTTCGATTTTGCCTTGGTAGAGAATCTACTGAAGAGTGTCTGCACGAGACATCGAGATTGACTCAAATAAAAGGGCGTTGATAGGCGGGAGTGTTATGACAGGTGCCTTGACAAACGCCAGTATCTTGTCAGCGTACTAGATGCCTGCGAAAGTGGGTTCACCACTTCCAAAACAAGTGCCAGTCGTTGCGTGACAGACCAGTCGTCGAACCAATAGCAAAAGCAGGAGTTCACGAATGCAACGGATAGTAAGGCACGGTTTGCAATCTGCCTAGCTTAGCAACTTAGTGTGTAGGCTTTGGTCTATCACTTTTGGAATCCTAACGACTATGGAATTCCAGCACATATCGACAACGAGCTCCACACTCTACAAGAGGAAGACATTTTTCCACTGCGATTAAACAACGCAGGATCTTCAGTTCATATGATTTCAGCTATCGTCTTAACACTGTGGCACTTTTTTCCAACCCCACAGACTTCCGGTCCTTCTACAGAGCGACAACAAATCCTCAGGGATGACTGAGAAGGCTACATTGATAGCAGTGGTAAAAAAGGTGGAGATCCTGAAATTCTATGACTGTAAACCAAATCCATACATCGGATGTTATAGATGGTGGAATCTTGAGATCTCATACCAGAAGGGCTATTGAAGCCATTTTCGCAACCACCCCAGTACCATGCTTGACAATGCGGGAAATAATGCCTGAAGCTATACGGATTCAAACGTCCGTCATGGAGCCGCTCAGGACACTTGCAGGAAGGTGCCCTTGTGTCGAAGAAATTAGCCTTCTTTACACCACAAAAGGCCGAGAATAACTCAGCTAGGTAGCTGGAAAAAAAACTAAATTTGAGGCGAACCGGCAACGAGGAATGAACAGAGAACGTAAACGCTGCTACTGACAGCTATCAGCACATGAAATGTCAAACGGTATCCCACTTTGAGGAGTACAAAGTCAACGGATCGCAGAGACCCAACTCAACCGGGTTAACAGAATCCAACGACAGGCCTCAATGCCATTGGAATCACATGTCTTCTCATATTGATGGTAAATTGATGAGCATCTTCAGTTCTGAGCTCGTGGATAAGTTCTAAGGTACCGACTACTTTGCAATGATCTACGTGGAAGAGTGACTACAGAGATTGCCGAGGAGTTTTAAAACTAGAAGGATAAGTAACAGGCATACTCTTGATTGCATTCTAACTATGAGAGTTCTTCAGACAGACACTATCCTAAGCGTCGTGGCACCTAGTTGTGCCGAAGGTCTCACAATCCCTTTTGCAATAATACTCCCACGAGCTACGTAACAGGTAAAACTAAAATCTTGCCACAAAATAATCTGCACGCATGTGATGAAGCGGACGATGGTGGGACTATGGAGCAAGTGGATGCACTTATCAAATGTTTTGGCTTACTGGGACTGTTGAGGGAGTAAGCGCTGTTGTCATGGCAGTATGTGCGAAGGTAGAAGGGGGAGGAGGTGACGTGAATTCGTCGAATAGGGGGTCCACAGATTGTTTGGTCGACTGGGAGCTGGTGGTGGTGATGGTGACAGTTTTGGCCGGTGTCTCGGAGACAGGGGCAGCTTGGAAACTTGAAAAATCACCAAAATCCGCGTCCACCGGGGCACCAGCTGTCGGGGTTGTCTGCGCGGCCACGGGCGGATTCACAGCAGTGAAGTTCGCGAACAGGCTAAGATAGGTGTCATTTAGTTCAGCTTCCGATTTAACTAACCGAGCTAGCTTCCCATCGATGGCATCATTCACACGGGGGAGTATACTTCTTAATCATAGCAACCTCAGTAACAAATCGCCGCATTAACAATGAGCCAATTTAATTCTTGCTGTCTTTTCACCCATGATTGCTTGTTAAAACTTTCAAGCTGGTCATACCCATCCTGCATCTCGAATGAGCTGAGGAATTCATGGATGCAATGGAAAGTGATCACCACTGTTATGTGGAGATGGCAATTTATTCGAACAAAAGCGTGTCCATTTCGATTCATAACTATCACTGCAGTGCGTCGCTCTGTTTGTCTAGGAAATTTTTCAAGTTTTGTATTAGTAAACCACAGCAGACATCTAGGGAAAAACTGTTTTGGAACTAGCATTCGATTGAATACGGCGCCACGATTTTGGGCACAAAGACAACAGTCTCGAATAACAATCCTAGCTTTGGAGCCAGTAATTTATTCTACGAAGAAACGATGCTGCTTTGTGTTAACTCAGCGCCAAGGTAATTAGTATTTTTGGCAGGATCATCACACGTGTATGTACAGTCATGAACATTTACTGCTGCAATCGCCACCGCGATGGCCCCATCAATCCACACTTTTGATAAAGATGAATAAGCAGGTGATAAAAACAAGTACGCAGACTTGGCAAAAGTCTGGTGAAGGTCAAGACATTGCACGATTTTGTTGCAGCCTACAGAGATCTAACTATCTACTGGATGATCTACTGTTATTACGGAGGTCTTACTTGCTATCAATACTTGATATTAATTTCAACAAGGTGTCATGCTTTGAGTGGAGTGAAGAAATGCATCAAATCGACAAACCGGTGAACTCACTCCATAGCAGTAGTCGCAGCATTCTGTGGCAGTTTAGCTTGATGCTTGTCTAACTCAGCGAAAAAGTCGCTGTTATCATCGTTCTGTCTATTCCTTGGTGGCGACGCCAGCATTTCCGTCGAGGGAGGTCTAGGAAGTCTCGTCGGAGGCTACAAGAAAAAAAAGAGAGCTTCAATCATAAAGAACGATTTGCCCAGAGTAACTAGGTCCAACTTTCACAAGGGTCCTTTACGGACCAACATGGCAAGATTATGCGGACCCTCGGAGGGCAGGTAATGGGTCAGTTTAATGAGGGTGCTTATTACCTCATGTGATAGCGATGCTTCCCATTGTTGCATCTTGATTTGATCTTCATCTATCACGTTCAAGTCCTACTTTTGCATGGTAAAAACACTCTTTGCTCTGGCAGTTGTTCGCCACTATGACCACATTTTTTACTTCAATGGATGACAATTAATATTCCATTTGTGAAGAGCGCTTACATCTACATACAGGAGAACAAAATGACCACCTAGAAGAACCCTTGTTCTAACAATTTCTCAGCTATCAATGAACATGCAGATATAAGTCCCAAAGAAAGATTTGGATTACCTTACATGGTTAGATTGAAAATTCCTTCTAGAGATCCGCTTTAATGGAATAAAATGACGAACCGTAACATTGGAACCAGTCGGAGGCAAATCAAAGTCTATCAGGGCAGCAGGAGTCGCTGTTGGCAGCGATTTTTGACTGGTTTGGGTGGTTGGTGAGAGTTTGGAGGTATCAGAGGTCCGCCGATAAGAGTTGTACTCCTCCTCTTCCGGTTGATCAACTGTGGCACCAGGAAAGCTGAAGACCTCCTCTGATACCTTATGCGGGTCCTCCTCGTACCTACGAGGTGAGTGAAAGAGAGGTTTCTAGTGCAAGGAAGCAACAACGCCTTCCCCAAGCAAGTGACAATCAATCAAGGTGTTTCGATTCACAAAGCAGGAAGCACGAATTGAATCTTACAAAACTGCTGCGAACACCTACTGTGCCAGAGTCGCAAAACCCTGTTCACACCCACCAGTCCTTGTTTGAGGTCGAGAAAGTATGCACTAATCCGCACAACAGGAATGGCAAACGGGAGTTGGTGAGATTCTCCAAATTTTCACGTGTCTTAAAAACGCACTCGACGGAACGTCGAGTTCTACCATTACAGTTGCCCTCGTAATCAGGCATAATGTAGGTGCGCCTCAGACATTAGTGGTCACCTAGCAACCATACGCAAACACAGAATGCGTGAAATAGGGAACGATAGCGATAACTCGTATTAAAATGTTAGTTGATGAGTGGGGAGAGTCCAATATATTCAAAAGTAACTAATATGCACTTGAGGAAAGCAATTTCAGGGGTTTGAGTGTAAGCCTTACGGTAAAGAAAGTAAGGGGCGGAGCAATAGAAATGTGAAAGATGCATTGGTTGTTGGTAAAGGATATAAATTGCCAGATATATTTTAGATTTTCCATAAATCCATTTGCTAGACACATAAAATAAGCCAAAAAACGGTTTTAAAGTACTCAAGGCCGGTTCAATTCGAACTTGGCATCGTGCCCTTGTCACAACCAACATGCAAACTTCAAATCAAACGCAGACGTTGACGAGGGCATGTTGCTGTTTATGTCACGTTATTCTCAAACCACGGTGATTTCGACATCACATCCACCTCAGATGTCGTGGGACCCTTTGTATTTACAAACCAGCTGTGTGGAGGATGGTTGTTCCACTCCGAATCAAATAAAGGTCGAGTAACGTCGGCAAATCTCTGAGATCCATTAAGAATGAAAATAGGGCTTCAGAACCAACCACCGGACACCTAGTGCACGACAATTGAATGTTCGACAAAATCCGACTCACCGTTCAAACACCCGACATTCCGCTTTGTGTAATCTCACGAGTTAAATTAAAACACGCCACGAGCATACTCCACCAAAGCGGAGGGAAATGCGGTCCATTTTTAGGTGGCAATACCCGTGTATGGCACACCATACAGTACATACACAACGCAGTGTTCGGGTAGGTAAGCACTCAAAAATAAGAAAACACACGCAGACACAAATACACGGTAAACACACAAAGTTCAAAGTGCACAAGGACTATGCCTGTGTTCAATGTGAAGATGCCACGAGTTGAAACGGGCAACAGTGTGACCTCACCGACGAAGTTGTATCACGCAAGGCCACACATAAACATACACACACAAAGATGGTAAACGGAATGGTGGCTCCAAACCTAAGAGCACTGACCAAATACTGAAGGTCAATAGCTGTGGAGACGCCCAACCACCCCTTCTAGTGGACAAGCGGTTGTACGTGGCAAAATCAGTACTACCACATTTATCAGCAGCTAAAAACGGTGAATTAAATCACATTTTTGGTATTGAGTCAGTGTGTTGGTGTAGTGCCAAGTTGAGAAATAGGTATGCACACAAAGGCAAGCGATAGCCGGTTGTTTTTATTTCAGTAAAACGACACAGTGTGTGCATGTGTGTGTGACATTACCGCTGTGGGAGTCGAAAGCGATGTGCCAAAAAAGAAACTCACATTCGAGTGGAGGAATGGGGAGAGCGAGGCAACAAGGCAGATTCATCGGAAAAACTAAGAGTGGGCGAAAGGAACCATAATACCACACCAGGGGATATTTCAAATGTGTCAAAAGCTTGTTTGGGGCATGGAAGAGAGAGCCACGTGCAAAAAGAAACTGGTAATAGTGGACTAGAAACACAAAAATAGAGGACATAAAGCACAAGACCGGTGCCTAAGTAACGCCCGATACTATTGTTCCCTAAGATTCAACGACTGCACCATGAGAGCGGCAATGTGTACACAATTCGTCGCAAATAGAGTGACCAAAATACTGAGGAATTGAAGCAGTGGTTATCTATCCATAATGCAAACACTAGCTTACTTAAACAAGCACTTTCACGTCAATAAACTGGATAAAATAGCTCTACACTGAAATCTCAAAGGCTTCTATACCTCCTTACTGCAACGTAAGAGCAAAGAAGCCTAGTGCGATCGTTTGAACAAGTTTAGACACACCAGTGATATCGAAATGCTTGGTTTTGCCACAGTAGTCTGTGCAGTATGCACAAACGAGGTGAAAAGAAGTTAGTAGTGCAGTAAGAACTAAATTTGCAGAAGACAGGAGCGTTTACTTAATTGGGAAGCGAAAACACACCTCAACCGCTCATTTGCATCAGGTAGTGTGGAAAAACCAAATCAATGTGCATGCATACGTGCTGCATCCTCCTCGTTATGCACCTATACGCACCAATGCTTATCAAGCTACGGCGATTAAGTGATGCTACAGTGTGCAAGTAAACACGCAGAGTACTCTGTCACCACGGGTCACTTTTAACGCGTTTTAGGCTGTATATACAAGACTCAGGCACTCAAAAAACGAATCGCCTGATTCCACCTATCATGATTTGAATTTGAACAGATTCGGGACTGCACGAAAGGATCTTTCGTGATCTGACTCACTAAACACAGGCAGGTAAAGTGAGATGCAGAAACCAACGACTATTGTAAAAAAAAACTACCGTCACCAATACCGCCGGTAAAGCGAGATTCTACCAAAGGCTGATGATAGGTTGAAACCAGACAACACTGGAAGCGCTTACACTGAAGGTGGTGGAACTCTCGGCTTGCCAAGCAGATCATTCGTGACGACTTTAGCAGCTCTTAGCATATCGGAGAATTTGTCAGCGACATCATCAACGATGGTGCGTTCATGAGCCAACTTCCAGGAATCAAAACTGCCCAGGCGGCTGGAAGAGAACCTGGTGCGCCTCTCATTGCTTCCCTTTCTCTCGCGCCACGGCATCTCAGCCTGTGGCGCACTGAGAGAAGGATAGCGATGGGAGTCACTATAATTCCAATCACCAGCACTGTTGCCATCATCAAACCTTTCAGTAGAGGGTTAGAGTGCGTCACGATAGCAGACCACGCATTTACGCAACGTAAATATAAAAGTTAAGCAGCACGTGGTTAGAGGATGAAGAGTAGGAGAGAATGGAGGGAAAGGAGGCAGGAAAAAGACAATACTTGTGTGATTTGTAGAAAAGTAAACAGAAATACAGAACATAATGTAAGTTAAGGCAACTTACATTCCATAGTCGCCAGAGAAATTAGATCCCATGACATGGCTATTTCCAATACCCGCATAGTCCTTCCGGGCGGTAAGGGCTTTCTGCCGCTCGGCTTGAAGAAATTCCGCATCTTGGAGGAGTTCCACAACTTCGTGAGCTTTGATTCGTACTAGGCGGAAGTGTTACTAAGTTTGTGGAAGTCATACCAGAGGAACCTTGATCACGACCTCGCTCATCAACGCATTGGTAGTTCTCCAGAGAACGGAGGTTGTAGATGTTGTCAAGGGCGATATCACAAACGCGCTCAGATCCACTTCTCAATAGATGTGCAAGAACCACTAGCCCCTAAAGTTTATTAAAAAGCACTATACATCAATTTCACCAATACCATGATGCGAGTGACCAAAAATAAACCAGAGCAACTATATTATGAAAGAATGAAGAAATATCCTACTACTTGGGACAAAATAACCCCAAATATATTGCACAAATTATCACAGATCAGGTGAACATTTTATTTGATGTAAAAATAGCCTGAAATTAATTGAGTAAAGAAAATAAGAGTACCTTGTATATACGGCGCCAATTGGTAGAATTTTCGGGAAAAATTCGGCTCAATAGCATAGTCATAATTTCCAGAAGCCCTTCGGTGTCGTGCGTTTCTCGTGCAAGGTCATTCAAAATCTTTCCATGTGGTCCCCAAGGTTCATCGTTTGTTGCCTCACGAACTTTATTCTCGAGTTCCGTGTAGTTCATAACGGCAGAAGTTCTGAAGCAAAGTATTAAAAGAAGGATATACTCACATTTTATCAACCCATACTTTCCCCTTCTCCAAATACTCGCGAAACATGTCGAGGGCGCTGTAACGAGCTATCCGATAAGGTCACGAAACGAGCTTATTTCGTTAAAGTAGGCGCTAACCTAGCAGATACTATTTTGGATAAGTGAACAACTCCGATGGTATATCCGACCCTGAATTCTTCAAATTTTCTGGCAAAATGTAGAGCAAATTCAGTGCTTTAACCTCTTTTGCCCACCGCGGGCTTCAAAGAGGAAATAAAGGGGAGTAAGTATAGAACAGCTTAATTTAAAACAGTAGGTGCAACACTAATTTGAAAAAAATGTCGCATAAAGATTAGTTTGCTATTGCTGCAGAAAACGTGGTTTTCATAATACTCAAAGCGCTTGCTTAGGCAGACACACGAATTGCATTTACTTACCTTATTTGCATGCATTTTAATTTTTGATTTATTAAATTTTGCTTAAGCAGCTTTTTTGCGCTTTTACAGAAAAAAAGGATAATGTTAAAGGCACAAGAGCTTGTGTTTGCATAAGTTGCCACGGGGGGCGGGATTCGTAGATTCCCCTTTCTCCGGAGAACAAACCTTATGCTTTCTACCTAGGAATGGATTCACGTCACACTGAGTCGTTAAGGTGTTTACTTTTATTTTGTTTGTCCATCTTTTGGGAGTGATTGTGGCTCAGAAACAATGTGTTTTTCGAGGCTGATATTGCCAATACAAAATTAAAACCTGCCTCACTATTTGCGTATATGCTTTAATTATTTAGGCGGTTACAACAGCTGATGTCTGAATTGGGGTCTTTTTTTTGCAATCTCCTTTTCTTAAGGTTGGTGGGGAAAGGAAGGTCAGAGGCTTCATTTTTTTTGCCTCCTCTTGTTCTGTGCTACTTCTGGCTTAGACTATTGAAAAGGTTTGGAAAGAACCGCATTCCGTTTGATATTTATAGTAGGGGGTGATTTCGATGATAGTTTGCTTCGTTAGTCACCATTTTGCTTGAAATATTCCCCATTTAAGGACAAAATAAACATTTATTTCAACTTCACTGCTTCATTATCACAATGGCTATGTTAGTTTGTTGTTATACGATAAGCACTATTCGTCCTTCTGTTTTTTAGGCTATCGCTTTGAATTTGTACCACTTTACTGTTTTAATTAACTTCATTCTGATTTTCGCTATTCGGACCTTGCTTAATTAAGTGGAATGATGGTGTAGGCTCTCATTTCATCTTGTCATTTAATTTCTCTCTGGCCTTTCTGTAAAGGTAGAGAAATAGGATTTGAATGTGTGTTGGCATTATGAGTAAGCTCGCAGACCTTTGGTTTTAAGCTCATAATCTAGGCATGCTGGCTCGTACTTTATGCTTCCTTTTTATTCTTCCAGAAAACGAAAACATCGACTATCCTCCACGTTGGCAACTGGCGGAGAGGAAGAATTTTGGGACTGCACGGTGTGCACTTACAAGAACTCTGCTGAGGCTTTTCGTTGTGAAATGTGCCAGACTCGCAAAGGCACTTCGACCCGCAAACCAAAGTTGAATAGACAGATTGTGGAGGAGCAAAATCTCATTGCCCGGACCATCATCAAGGAACGCCTAGAAGAGAGTGGTGCAAAAACCGCCGGCACGGAATCCACCACGCATCACCGTCGAAAGTACCATCGACATCTAAATTCTAATAGCAGCGCATCGGCCTCTGCCTCAGCGTTAAAACGTGTTGCATTATTGCGCCCCGGGTAAGGCAGTTTTTCGATAACTGTGATATATTTTTATATCGGACCCTATGTGCCACGTGGTGGAATGTCAAATACTTTGCAATGGCTTGTGATTACAGATCTCTTCGCAATGTCGATCGTTCATGTCCGCAGCACTTTGAGGTATTCGCAAATGGATTCAGCGTGGTTATCACGGAGTATTATCCCAAAGTATCCTCCCCTGCTACAACCCCGGGTGGTAGCAAACAGGTGTCTTCATTGTCCAACAGCCCCGTTCTTTCTACTCCTGCGTTGTTTGCAGTACGTTCTTACTTTATCCCCTTCTTAGAAGTAGGGTTTTGCCTTTGATACTTCACCGGACTCTAATTTCTGAGATGACAAATAAGTGGATCTTAAGTGGCTTATTTGTAAAGTTCTGTTTATATATAAAATACAGATTATCCTAAATTTTACGGGTGAAATCGGCCGGAAGATGCTTTATCAATTCCAATTTAAATATGCGTTGTGTAATTGGAGTCATCGGTCGGCTGCTTGATCATAAATCCTATGCTTGGTAGCGTTTCAGTCTAACTTTAATCACTTATTAAAGTTCAATGTTCTTTATGCCTGAATATTTTTTAGCTGTTTAAGAATTTTCCATATGATATGATTTCCTCTTTAAAATCGTGTTGTCATTTGGAAGGAAAACCCCATGGCTGGTAATCACTCTTGATTCAACATTTGAAATGGAATCCCCAGCTTTATTGATCCTAAAAGAATTTTTGCCTCTAAGTTACACCTCTGTATATGCGCAGGAATTGGGGCTGGAAGGGTAGACAGTATTGTCAGAACCGTCTGCGGTCAGCATCCTGATTTGGTATATAGTTAAAAGTATCAGTATCCACACTTCCTATTTTGATTGGCAAAAGGGTTGACCTTTTCCATTTGCCTCTTTCAAGGGTTCTGCAACCATTCCACTAGGAACGGGTGCAACAAAAGTAGAAAACACTTCCAATTCCGAACCTCCAACTACCAACCATCTCCCATCGTCGCCATCCTCTGCAGGTGTTACTAGTGGTGACCATCCCACCTCAACTCCATTGGACGATCCAATTGCTATAACCAAGGAGGAGGAAGGGGAAGAAGAAGGGAAGGCAAAAGTCCACTTGGGCTTTAAAGAGCCCCACCCTGCTGAAGAGGATCTTGACGACACAAGCCGCACATCTCCCTCAGTCGCACCGAAATCTGAGGCGACTGAAACTCCGGTGGAGAGTTTGTTCAACGCAATGACCGTGTCTGGTCGAAGGAAGCGACGCAAACGTCGGCTGCAGAGTGATACCTCCATCAATAAATCGTCCCGATCTCTGCGTAGCAGTGCTGGCTCCTCCGCCGTGGCATCGCGCAGCAGACGGGTCAGTCGGATAGCTCGCGCTTCTCTCTACCGTGTCGCAAGCGCCCCTCGTTCCTACAAGCGTCGAAAGATCGCCACGCCATCCACTGCTGCTTCCGTGGAGCCTACTTCCTCTTTGGACCTGACCTCTCCCATGAACGTGGAGTCTACCGCCCCCATGACTGACAGTTGCGGTGCAGTGGCACTGGAGATGTCTGCAGCCAGTGCGTCTACCTAGACACGCATCTCCTCTCCCTCCTCTTTCCATGTATATATGTTATGTAGGCGGTTCATCTCTCCCTCCCAGATCTCCCGTTCCTACCACACCTTTTATGTGTACAGTTGTCAGTGGGTTCGTGCCTTCTCCACTCTCCTCTACCTATCTCCATATGTATGTCTGTTCGCTATATTGGGGAAATGGTTGTTTGGATAAATAAACTCGCTGTGTGAGCGTACTATGTGCTACTTCTCCTGTTGTCTGCTTGAGGACCATCTTTTGACCAATGCTTTTAATGCTTAGCTGCTCTTCTTGGTATTTCAATATGACAGGCTACTGCAGATGATACGAATTGTAGATAACAGGAAGGTTCAGGTGGTGGGATTTCTGGCGAAACGATAATGCTACTAGCTGTGCCTTTGATTTCCTCCTTGGTTGTCCTGCTCAGATTCTGTTCTCGATGTGTGTCACTGTGGTGCAAGATAGGATGTTATGACTTCAAAAGTGGATGCCTGCTAGTATTAGAAGGTTGACTACTCCCGTGCTGGCGCTTTATAGGGTACTGCTATAGGTTAAGGCCGTGCTCCCTGAAAAGCATGTCCTTAGGAGTTTATCGTTGGAGATTTTTGAGAGATCCACAAAAACATGTAGTCCGGGTGCTGAAACAGTAATTCATTTTGTTTGCAGGGGAGCCATCAAATTGGTGAATTTTTTCATCCAGACCTACAGGTACGTTTTCTGCACCACTTCTAGCGTCCCTTTTCCATCTACTCATCCACATAGCGTTCATATGTGCCTTCCACAATAGGTTTCTGTGCTTGATGTCGACTGTACGGGGCGTTTCGCTTTTTTAGCTGGGTACGTGATCTACCTCTTTGTGTCTTCCAATTTTGACCATGGCTAGGGGTCTGTGAATGGAATCTTCTTGCCAAATAATGATTGCTTTATCAAGCTTGATTCTGAATTACACCTATCCTGCTTCTCACTTTTAGCTCCAAAGGGTTAGCCGTCATTGATCTTGAATCTCCCTACGACAAGGCCTATTTTGAAAAGATTGATGCACTCGAACCGTCAATTCTACAGTGCCATCCCAATGATGGATCCCAGTTCGCTCTGGCTGTAAGTTTTTCATACCCATTTACGAGCGATATGGTAGTAATTGGCGTCCACTAACGCTCGTCCACTATCAACCTTTGAAATTGACACGTCGGAAATGCTACGATTGGTAAAACAACCATTTTGGAAGATTCCCGCATGTTGCTTGCAGGCTCTCTCCTTCTTTATCACTTATTAAACGCCCCTGCTTTATATCATTGCATAAATCCTCTCGTGACCCTTTCATCAGATATTAACTGTATGATCGTGATGCTCATTTTGAAAGAATTTAATTTCAGCGAAAAAACATATGCGAGGTGTACTCCTGGTCGTCCACTGAAAGCAGACTGACCCTGGTGACACTACTTCAGGGCTTCATCCGACCAATCAACGCTGTGGATTGGTGCCCTATGCAACCTAATATTTTGGCCACAGCCTCCAATGAACAGTTTCGTTCAATCACCGTGTGGGATCTGAGGGACCCAGTCAAACTGGTGAAGAATATTGAACTGTTCTGTAGGTTTCTAGTTCTATTATCCTCATCCTTGCTGCACCCACTTTTGTCCCCCGTTGAGGTGGATTCTCCCGACCTTACAGCTTCCACAAGTCTGCTCCGTTGGGATCCGTTCCGAGAGCACAGCTTTGCCAGTGGGGG